CTAATCTGTGAAAGGAAATGGGCAGCACTCCAACATGGCCATCCATCCCTGAAGCAGAAGAACGATTATTTAACAACACCGCTTCATGCTTTTTCATGAATCCAGTTAAGAAAAAGTTTCTGATAAACATCAAAGAAATGCTGCTAAGAAATATGAGAAAACTACTGTCAAGTTTTATCTTTGGCCTTTGTTAATGTGGAACCAATGAGTGTAGTCTTGACATGCACTGCACTGTCACTAGGCCTATGACCCACCCGAAAGTGAACCGTCAGGAAAATCGGAGTATCCAAGGAACTCCACCACTCTCTCTTCACTGCAGAACAGAAGATAAGATATTAATTGAGAGTAAGACAGATTGTCAGCATCAAGAAAACGGTTTCCTGAGCAACTGGCATGCAAACCAAGCAGCTGCCACCTTAACACGGTGAGCTGACTATGGTGCAGGCAGGATCAAAGGGGTATAAGGCACACATTAGGTTTCAAGAGACAAAACTGATGGATTCTTCCAGAACTGGGAAGAATAACTATTTTAGATGACAGTAAAATAGGTATCCACAGTCACATCTGATCCAATACGGATTAACACTGAATACAAACCAGACCTATTTCTTTGACATAATATTGGATTAAGTCAACTAGTTTAATGAGGGGAAGTGAATATGAAGATTTAGAGCCAGGTAAGGAAGAACTAGGGGTGACACAACACTCTTGACATTAGGAGGGTAACTTATCTTATCCTATGTGGTTAAGTGGCTTTGAGAGGTCAGGTGCATGTTTCTCTCCATTAACTGTCATTGCACCGCAAGGTGACAAGCTCAGATTTATAGGTCTACATTTGGGATGTCTCCCACCTCACATAGTCACTAACTGACCCCTTATGCTAAGGAAAGACAGGAGAAGCTGACAACATTACTCACATTCTCAAGAAACAGTAGGATATCTGTTATTTCCTGTGACACTACTTACTGGAGCTATCTGAACTGCCCTCTGCTCACTTTAAGCTTAGAAGAGAACCACACTTCTGTTTGTCTTCCCTCAGTTTTCTCAGTCAACACATCCCATTTACTACCATTAACATTTTCAAATTGTACTGCAATTTCATACAAAACATCCCCACAAGATAAAGGATCTTCAAGAAGATGGGAAGAGAGAGTGCCAAGGTGCTATTCTTGCTCAAGAATTTGGGGCATGTATTTCCATACACTATGTTACTGCCAAGGCTACAGCTCTTCAGATCCTCAGGGTGTGTGCATATACTACAGCTGAGAACAGAATTGCACTTAAAAATCTGAAAAACAAACAAGCTTGCAAGAATTCAAACACAGTGGGCAAGCTGTAGCTGTTTTATTGTTATTATTCAATTGAACTCTGCTTGATTAATTTTATGGAACCAAAATACACTAAGAAGGAAGAAGAAGGAATATATTTCCATATAAAATGGGTAAAACTTTACGAAATTAAAGTTACAGAGCTTAAAATATTCCTTGGAGGTATCAATTCATTTATGCTGCTTATTTTTGAGAAATCATTATGCTGGACACTAAAAGGATAATAAACAGTTTGGAGGAATGAAACCAAACACACCTTTCAAAAAAAAAAAAAAAAGTGGTGCTCCAAAATAATTTATATGAGTAATTTTTTTCATCTTTATCCAGATCTAAATATTATTAAATTTTACTAAAGATAAGACCTGTACTTGTTCCACAAACAAAATCAATTAGCAGTAAAACTACACAGAAATATCATATTAGGATATACCATACTAGGACAGTGCAAAAATTGAGTCAAACCCTTCTGGTGTGGAATGGACATTATCTGTATCAAGTTCAACAACACACTAGGGAGTACTTCAGAAGTTTCTAAGGACAGGGTATTTTGAAGAAATACAGTCTCTTCAGTACAGTAAAAAGAACTGTTTATGTCAGAAATTCTTTTAAAAAGGACCAGCATGAATTTAAGAAGTTATGTTTTCATTTTTGCATTGTTTTATCACTGAAAATAATAGCTAGGGATTAAAATAAAAGCATGTATCCCACAGTTGTCTTCTCTCTCTCAAAATGTGTATGTTTATAGTTGTAGACAAGAAGATAACACATCAGTGCAACTAGGGACCACAACTGAGGACTGAATTACCCTTAAAAACAGCCAGTTTTCTCAGAAGTCAGGTCTAAACTACCAATTACTACCTCTATGCCTGGTCAATAAGGTTACTCACCTTTTCTCATGTCACAGTCAGAGACAATTGTACGCGTTTAATCTCCCCATCACGTAACATTATATGGACAGAGAGAAACACATGCTGTGCATTGGAGATGAGACTGAATCAGCACCGCATCCACGAGGCAGGTAACATCCAAACCATGGTATTGCTCCAAAAGAAAGTGAAGCGACTTTCTGCACTGTGCCTTGCAGCCAAGGGGGGAAAAGCTAAGCTGCTTTTACGCTGATGGTGGCCTTCTGAACACTGTCTTTTTGAGGACATTGAAAGGGTCTGTGTGATTTTGATAGCCCTTGGAGCTTGTTATAGGAACACTGCTGTGTCACATCGGAGCACCCGACACAGCAGGGGCAGCTGTGCTGCACTGCAGCGTCAGCATGCAATTCCCCATTGCTTGTCCCAGCAAGAGCTTTTCCATCTGCTTTCGTAATCCCAGAAGTTCAGGCACTCTGCCATGAAGGCCTGCCCCCAACACACTCCTCTTCCAACAGTCTCTTAATGCCTCTCCAGTCCTACTCATGATAAAGGAACAGAGCAAGGATTAGGCCTATTCCTTGTCTTTCTTTGTCTGGGAGAGGGGAAATGAAAACAAAAAATACCAAACTCTTCTTAAAAAGGTACCATACAGTCAGATAGCCAATTAGACTAACTTCAGCATCACTATAATTGTTTGGGTTTTTTTTAATAGGAAAGATGATAGATGAATAAAGTAAAAAAAGACCAACAAAAACTCTACCCTACGTGGCAGGTTTAGCCAGGTCCACATATCTTATTGCTACTCTTGGAAATACAGAGCATAAATCTACTGTTTGCAAACATGCAGATCTTTCCTTCACCCAGACTGGCTTGTAAGGCACATACTCAAGGTAATCTACTGACAGGAGTCTGTGCAGAGATTTTAAAGAAACAGGAATCTCGCTACATATCCCTGTTGGAAGAATATTTCCTCATAAGTAATATCTATGTATGCACATGTGTATACACTGTAAACATTTAGCTTAACTACTTTTTTCCACGGTGCATGAGTAGCAAATGCAGTAGCAGTCCGCTGCAGCTCATCGTTAACAAAAGTCTTGTGAAAGACTTCACAGTGCTCTGGCATAGTTACCTCCAAAAAAGCAGCAGGATCCAGTATCACCATAAAACTACTCTGGACAGCAAGTGAGGAATGCATTACTTATCTAATCTCTCGTTGGTTTTTAGGTAGACAAAACTTGGCCAGACAATGCAGGTTGAGCCTTTAATCAAGACCTTGCCTTTATGCTTCATGAACAATACATCCTAGAGCACTGTCTCAGTACTGACTCAGAAGAAAAATACTCACCTACAAGAATTAGCTTAAGAAACAGCTTTTTTCAGTGTCTAGATTTTCAGGGAAGTCTAGCCACATCTAACTGCATTCCGTGCATGGAAAAAGAAGAAAGCGCCACACTGATTCTGTGGAACTGCACACTACTTCTCTGACGTGCCAAAACCAAATAAAATTGGAACAGACTGTTACGTTACTGAACATTTAGTAGTTCTTCTAATAGTCTAGATATTTCAGAATACTCTGCAATACTCTACTAGCCAGAGAGTACACAAATCACGCTCCACTGAAGTCTGAAGTGATGACCTATTTCCAGTCCTTCACTGTTGCCAATGGGAAGGTGCCACAAGGCAAGAATGAAGGCCACTGCAAAAAGCAAATGGATACTCCTTCTCTCCCCATGACACCTCCTTCCCTACTACATCTCTGGACTGTTAAGTAAGGGCTAATCACTAGTTTATGTCATATATTCAGTCTAGCCCTGACAGCAGGAACGGAATGGTAGGGCACACAACTATGTTTTACTGCAGTGATGCTGGAACATCACTGAGCCATAATTTCTGTGTGACACTGTGCCTGAATCTCAAACATCTCTAGTGACTCTTTGTAGTGAAATGTACCTCAGTACTGCCAATTCTTGCAAGCCCCTGCTCAAATATGGCTATAAATATGCTAGCAAACAGAAAAGCCAGTAATATCAGGAATTCTTTTCATGCTGCCTTTGACATCACAGTGCTTTACTGATGCAACGTTCCCAGGTACTTCAAGAATCAAAAAGTTTGAAATGTTCCACTACTTTCCTCTGATTTTACACTTTCACTACCACCATATTGGATGTCCTGATTTCAAAATGGGGACAATTCCATTGCCTCAATTCACAAAGAAGGTATTACCCAGCCAGCACTATACGTGTTAATTATTGACTCTGATCATAGTAAAACACAAAATGTTGTATAAACTGCAGAAAAGCTCAATGGAACTCTGATTTTTCATTCTGCGTGAAAAGCATCAAGCAGAAAAAGAGTCTGTTTCAGCAGATTACAAGAAAAGAACGATATTGGAAAAATGTTATAACAGTACAAGTCAGGGCAAAAAAAATTCCTGAAGCTTGAAGCTGCTTTCCATCACAAATTAAATACAGCACAAGGGTCAGCTATAAAAAAAAAGAGAGGTGGGGCATTAGGGAGAAACAAAAGAAAAAACCCTCATTCATTAGAGAAAGAGGAAAGAGATTATTTATCTCCAATGTGTTAAATTGAACTTGCTGCAAAATTGATCAGACCTCTCCAGACTCGGAAATACCCTATGGCAATTATTGATCAAGAGCAATGAATGTGCTACATTTATGTGCCATACAACAAAAAACATGGGGGGGGGGATTTAACTTTGAAACACACTCAACTGCGGAGTTAATGATTGTATGAATTATTGCAGCAATGTGTATGAGGATAGATTATCTTCAGGAAAACATACCTGGCTAGATTGAATGCATCATCAATCAAGCCTGCTCGATTACTGACAGAGATAACCTGTGAGGGGCAAGCACAAAAATTGAACCATTTAGGGTGATGAAACAGTGAAGGTTCACCTATCAAAACACATTTTAGGGATGAGAAGAGGAGCTTACCACGTGATTCCTTGTTAGCTGATTAATTAGCAGCCTCCAATTCCTAATATCATAATTAACTCTAAAGTAGCCAGTCTGGTTGATGTTCCCCAGCAACCAACTTGCCTCTTCCAAAGCAGGAATTCTGTGGTGTTCTGGAAAAAAAGAACAAGATGGGAAGGGGACTCGATTTTAAATTTAAAAATTCTAAAGACATATCTGTTAAATTCTCTCCTTCTTTAAATATCCATGAAGACAGTAAAATTAATTCAAAGACTAACAAAACCATTGTGTTTCATTAATAATTTCCTTTATCTGTTCTGATGTAGAGAGACACCAGCTGACATTCCTATGGGGACCTTTTACCCACGCAGAACTCCAAGGGTGTTTTTTTCCTGGCAAATAGTATTTATACGAGAGGTGCCCATTTTGAGTCTGGTACACTGATTGTGGCCATGCTAAAATAGCTTTCTACAACCATAACTCCAATAATTCAATGGATGTGCTACAGACAGAAGACTAAACCTGTGATTAAAAAAATATAAACTCTTAAGTGTTTCTGCGTGTAGTCGATGAAGCTTTTATATTGGATTTTAAATTCAAGTATTTTCAGTTGTACAGCTTCTAGCTACTAACCACTGAGAGGCTCCCCTTTAGAGCTAGACCAATTAACCTTATATCAACCAACTTGTCCTTCCT